AGGGGGGGGTAGGGTTAGGACCCTACGCCTGTCGGCTTTGCCCCGCAAGTAACTTGATTTTAGTGTGGCGCCCCCAATTGTCTTGGTTTTAGTGTGGGCCTCGAAAATGTCTTGATTTTAGTGTGGGTTCACTACTATGTTGGTTTTTGTATGGGAGGACGCGAAATGGATCGTTCAGTAGAGGTAACCTTGGGTTTAGGGTTCGGGATAATTCTTGTCTTTTTTTGGTATGTTTCGTTTCGTGCCCCCACCCCCACCCTCATGGAAAGGGGCAAAATACGGCCTTTTTTTGCCTGACTACTTTTTTGTAAGCCGCTAGTGCATGCAGGGTAGTGCGCAAGAAAAAAAAAGAAATATGGGTTTCAACCCGAAAAACGCTCAAGATTTCAAAAAAAGTATCGTCTAAGACATCGGACACGGTTAAATGGCCGTGAAATCATAACGGACTTTACTTATGTGACAGAGGAAGTATAGATAGGAACGCCGAGACTTCGCAGGAAGTGCTCAAAACAAAAGGAAAATCATATTTGACTACTTACAAACGAAATAACAGTAGCAATAGGTGCGCATGGGCAGACAACCCAAGCCCAGAACTACAGGAGGAAATGATGACGCAGTACAATACGTGCAAGAACCTGGAAAAAGGCGCAAGAAGAAAAAAAAAACGGTTGTGACTGCTTAAAAACGAAGACACGGTTGCCGGAATCATCGCAACCCACGCGCCAACTCCCGGTAGCGGGATGCATCGCACACGCGCTAACTCCCTACTTACAAATTGAAGACATGGTAGCCGGATGCATCGCAACACGGCGCGGGTGGGTGTGGTGAGGAGACTAGAACGAATCTTCCAGGAGTTTGGGCGAAGTTTTGACCCTACTAAGGATCCAGAACCCACAGCAGCAAAGAGCTACACGCTACACGCTCCCGGCTTCGTTGAGCGGCTTCGTCAAGCTTGCTCATAACTGTGATCGACCTACTACGTGAAAACTGCGCTTACTACAAACCGCACTGAATAGACGGTGGTACGTGCTGGCTATTGAGGGTGTTCATGTTTTTTCTCTCCCTGCTGGCCACACACCAACCTAAATACCAAAACCCCGCAAAACGGGACTGTCACCTTTTTACGAACGGAAGACGAAAGACGTCGGTTCTGCGGGTTTCAGCGCGCTTTCACGACACTGATTCCCAACTCAGCGGGCACAATCGGGACCGCGCGAAATGAGTCATTCTGTTCGCTAGGCCACCAGGTGCCACCGTGCGAAGGCGCGAGTCTCGCCGTGCGTCTGGGCGCGCGCTATGAGGGCGCGAAGTTAACGTACTGTTTTCAGAGGGGGTCGAATCGCCCCGCTGCGCTGTGAGGGACCCAGTCCTGATGATCCCGATTCCCGTAAAATGAGTTACCTCTATGTCCCTCCGTACCAAGCGGTTGTTGTTGTTGTTGTTGTTTCTCACATTTGCTCTAAAAAACCCGTGGTCTCAAAACCCGGCATACACGACCCCACGAAGAAACAGAAAAAAATAGGGTACAAAAACCACTCGGAAGAGAAACAAAATGATAGAAAGAAAGACCAGCTACCGCACCAAACGAGAAAGAGCGTCGAGGAGACCGATCAAAATAAAATAAAAGGAGAACGGGGAACGCTTCCCACACCCGCCTACAACGCCGGAGGGTTCCGTGCCGGGTTCCCGCCGACCAGGCATCCCCCGCCCTGCACCACACCCCAGGGGGTGCAGCAAGACGGGGGGCGAAAAACAAACACATATATATTCCCACAAAAAAA